CAAGAGAATTAAATTTAGCTTCGGATATTATGATCCATAATTCTAGAGACATACAAACGGCGTATAATGGTACGGTAGACTTATATTATATCAGACATATATTGATATATTATAATATTATTGGATCCAATAACATTCAAACGAACCGTATAATGACCTTTTGGATGTCACAAACAGCCATTTTCAGGACGACATTTATGCGTGAAAAAAAGATCCAACGTTATATTACTTATATTATAATTATTATCATTATACACAATATTATTATCTATTATTATACACGACGACGAAATAACTATTTACACTGGAATATAGGATATACGATATACCTATCACTTGTTATTTTTATTTTCACATTTATAATTATTTTTTTCAAGTGTTTGCATATTATTTTATGTCAATTTTTTGTATACTGCACAGTTTTATAACTGTCAAATCGAAATATTTTAGTTATCCGATATGTATAAATTCTATGAATTAATTTCAATGAATACTATTGTCGGCAAAAATAATTTGTTCGGAAACCACTAATACAATATATTATTATGTCGGTTCACATTTTTTAAAGAAGGGTTTTTAATGTTTATKATTATGAGTATTTAATATTTAGTTTAATCGTGATTTAAGATAATATGTTATTCTATTGATAGAATAATATCAATAAAGCATCCGCAATTAGATAACACACGATTAAATATTGTGTTATATCATACATGTTAATTGATATTAATTTATAATTCGGTTTTAATTTAATATAATATTTAACATCCACTGTAAAAAATAATAATCAATAAAAAACATTAATTTTGCCGTCTATTACTTAAAAGTTAAAATAATTTATTTACGAAATTTTATTCAGTTGCTKATATTTTATCATTTAGCCTTTATTGTTTAATAGTTTTCATTATCAATTATTGGAAAAATTAATAAAATAGAATTAATAAATGGAATTTGGTACATAATATCGTTGAATGGTTGTCAGAAATAGTTAATTTTAAAATGTTGATTCTAGAGGCTTTTAAGTATTATTTGTTGACGATACACTTTTAATCGAATGAGATTCAAACGATGATGAGTAGAATAAAACAACTAATCAAATTGTCATCAAATTAAACAAGTAGGGGAATYAAAAACTTTCTGGAAAAATAAATAAATACTTTTTTTGTTTTGAAAACTTCAAGAATTGCGAGATTTTATTAAATAAACAAGAATGGATGCTTATCAAAAATAGACCTTTTTGGAAGCCCGCTGGGTTTTACAGAAATACAATGATACGAAGACGATTTTGGTTAAAGAAATAGCTAAGTCTGCCGTAATATTGAACAAAATTAACTTTTTACAGTGTGCGTGTTATGACGTATTATTAACCTTAAAATGAATCAAAAGCATAAAATAAAATTCATCAATATCCCACTCACAATATTATTAATCTATTTATAAAAGCAATGAACATTTCATCTCAAATATTTTTTCATGTCATATTATATTAGTACTAAAAATGTTTGCTATAATAATGTTCTCATTAAAAAATAATTTATGTTATACGTTGTATAAGTATCGTTTCACTTAAAGTCTAAAGGTTTTATATCAATCTCTAGAATCTAGATAATATTACGTTTGTATTCACGAATTATGTGTAATTACGAATAAATGTCGTTGCAATTTTGTTCAATGAAATATTCGGGAGTATTACAATGTACAAYTCTCAAAATGCAATTATTATTATTGCATAATATATCAATATTTATAGTAGGTTTCGTATATATATTTAAGATTTTTTTTAAAATAAATATTGAAGTTTGAAAGTGGGTAAAATAATAATAATAATAATAATTATTATTATTATTATATTATTTGTATTTACTTTCTTGTACAGTGGGATGATGGGATGTATAGTTATATTATGATGCGTCCTTGTGCATGATGGATATAATATAATGTTAATCTTTAAATTTTAAAAAGTGGAAAATGTATTATAACTCATAAGCATTATAAATAATAATAATAATGGCAATAAATACAAAATTTATTTATCAGAAATTAGTTCTGAATAACTTAATTATGTTCATTGTTTTGTTGGTTAAATATTTTTATTAAATTGTCTTATTTTTTAAATTAAGTAAGTCAACATGAAAATGAATTATTAAAATGCGTCGTTTGTGATACTTAATATTCATTAKTMATATTAAATAATATAAGGGAAAATATTATAATATCAATAATATTGTACTCAGATATTCAGAAATATAAATTATACACTATTTTTGTTTGTATTATCATGTTCTAATAAACAGGGTGATTGATCTAACGATTAAATACTTTATAACTSCTCATTTATAGTCATTGTTATGTGTTAAATCAATTACTCCGTGTTCCCAAACACTCGGTTCAATATACGTTTTTAATTTTTTTTTTTATTATTATTATGGAAAGACATTGGGAACAKTAATACGTATTTTAATTTAATTTTGATTTATCTTTTTAAATTTACAATAGCACATTTTTCGGCTCTTTCAATAGGCAAAAAGAGATCGTTTATGCTATTGATGATGTATTTAACCATGTTTATAGGCATAATTTATTGTTGAATGAAAGATATTTTTTTTTTAAACAGGGACGGTTTAAAATTTTAATACAATTTGAAAATGTCAAACAATTTTTTTCATAATTTTATGATTATGATTTTAAACTGTATTAAAAGTTCAAAGATGTTTTTATATTCTTGGATATTACGAACTATAAAAAAAATACTATGCTTTTCGAAAATGTGTTTTTTTATTAATTAGATGAAGTATTATTTTTTAATATTGTTTATAGGATAATGTGATACTATATTCATCATGACTCTATTTTAGAACTTATAGTAACAAAAATTATCATATTTAAAATATATATATTATAAATATAAATTAATAAAAATGAATAATAATAATCAATTTTTCACACCAGTAATAGGTTTTTAATTTTCAATGTTATATACAAATGTAGCTCTTGAAAATTAGAAATCGTGTTCTCAAAATGTCGTAGGTGAAATCATAATCATTTGTTCAAAATTAATCACTCTAATTTTAAATGATATCGAATAAATACTATAATCATGTTCGAAACCTTTATGAAAAAATATTGAGTAAATAATATGAAACATGTTACCTTATAATATAGTACTATAAGTTTTGGTACGAGTTACCTAAAATGAGGTAGGTATTCACTATTCACTACCATTCAATATTCAGTACAGCAGAGTCGCACAACGCACYTCAATCTGATCGGGATAATGACGTAAATATATAAGATAAAAATAAATAACGCATATAATAGTTCCAAATAATTTGGTCATAGATGTTGTAGTGATTTGGTTATACTTATGACACCTTAACCAACTGAATAATATCGACGCTAGTGAATAGTGAATAGTGTGACACCTTAACCAACTGAATAATATCGACGCTTAACTACAATGGGTGCTGAAACATTCTCGAATTAACTCTGCACTCATCGCGAATTCCATGTCGTAATTTAAAATATTTAGATTAATAATCGTAATTTTATTTTGTAAGAATTTTGTAAGAATTAATTATCAATTGATTTATATCATGTTAATCTCTATTTACAGTTTTAAACTATAGAAAAATTCTATAATAATCTATGATTTCAGAATATAATACATTCTAACATGGAGTGTTTAAAAGAATAAATGCTTGTTGCAAAATATGTTTTAAAAATAGTACAGATTATAAGATTAAAAAAATATATAAATAAAGAAAAAATTCCTAACTTTTATAAATTAATGCTGGTTGCATTAACCTGCATTAACCTTTATCCTTGTTAACGAAGTATTTCTTTAACGAGAAGATTAAAAAATRGCTGAAAAGTAGTATGGATTTGGCGTATTCGGGATTTTTCAATGAACGTGGGGTGTAAGTATTTACGTCACTCATCCAACCTAAAATAATTACAAAGACCATATTATACCTACTYGAGTATAGCCAAAATGGTTTTTCGAAACATTTTGCGGTATAAAATATTCAACGTACGATCAGAATTGAATTTTTCGAAATTTACAAACATCTTCCGTCGCGGAATGAACGCCTCCGTTATCCCGTCCGAACGATTCAACGGAGTTGAACGCCTCATTGTGGACGACTATGATACTGGTAGGTACGCGTTAATAAAACGGATACAACATAAATCTCCTGAAACGGACTCCGATGAGACAGCATTGGCCTCGTGGGTTCACAGCGCGATACATTAAATATCGTTCAGAATAAAGCCGTTATCGCGAGCATGGGATTATTTTACTCGTTTAAGAGCAAGACAAAGACAGACGTTAATTTTATTTCGAATTTTAAACCGCGTTGAAATCGTTATTTCTGGAGTCCATCGTATGTTTTTACACTCTCYTCCCGACCGTGGACATCCATCGTTATTCATTTATTAATACTCCGGCTGTATTTAATAATATATATGAACACTGCAGTGATACTGCATATTCATGTCGACTTTTGCAGTTTTTATTTTACTGGTAGCATTTGAGTTTACATTTAATGCCGTTCGCAATGCCACCACATTACTGTTTATATTTGCACCGATTTATAGCGGGGGAAATATGGAACTTTCAATCACTGTATCAATTATATGTATATGATATAATACGACGCCATCATCACACCGTATTAGTTATCGATGGTTTTCTATACACGATCTGGATAGGGCAAATTATAATTATGTTTATCGAGTAAATTTTTGGGACCGTTTTCTCGAATGCAGTAATTGAATTCATTCCTTCGTATACGAAGTGATGAAAGACGGTGAAGGGGTTGAGTTCAATAAGGTGAAGTCGAACATCGTCAAAAAAATAAAAATATTTGACAAATAATTAATKATTATAATTTAACGTGATGAGTCCTGAACATATTATTRTACTAGTGGCGTTAACCCTCCCCCTTTCACACGGGAGAAGTTTCAAGCGATTTAAAATATATACATATAAAGGTACTCACCACTTCGATTTTCACTGTCAGCCGGCTTCATTTGTATCGGATGATGCATCTATATAAATAACAAAAAAAAAAATACAATTTTTATTAATTTTAACTCATTAAATGTCAAACATTTAAATTCAATTGAGGGTAATCATTGGAGCTATAGTGGCATTGGTACTTGACACGATTTAAATAAAGCTTTAAGTACACATTGTAATACGCGCATAAAACGACTTGATGACATTTAATCTTTTGGTAGAAAAGATAAATAGAAATCGGTTTTGGCAGCAGTTAACACTATCACACAATATTTTATATTATATATTATTATGTAGTATATATACGTATACATTTATTGAATAAATGATTTTGGTACTTGATAATGTGTATAATATAATATAATAATATAATTTACGACTATTAAATCTCCGTGAAGGCAGAGCTTTTATTTTTTTAATGCGATTACGAGCCGCGAAAGGGCYCCGTACTGTATATTATTCGACAGGGTTTTGTAGGTAGACATTATTATACCATAAAATAATATAATGTGCAATACTAAAATGTATAATGGATTGTATACAATATATTTTATAGGTTACAGGTACACCGTYAAATCGATAATAATCAAATCGCATAAATCGTCGATCGGTTGTATTGTTTTGTACAACTGTTGTAACATGTCRAGTCACTTTTAGCTGTCGAATGGTATCAAAGGATTTGTACGTTAAAAAATGATGAAAGTGAATAAATTATATTACACGCGGACCGTCATTGGACGGCGAAAACAGACGGCGCGTGGCGTACCTATATACCTATTATTAATAATAATAAAATAAAATCGATACTCTCGACTATGCATAGGTATAATATATAGACTATGGACAACTATATATACACCACAGGGAAACATGAGGTGGATAGAGGGCCTATTTTTTTCTTCTTATAGTTCCCCAATGACCTCGATYGAATTGTTTTCACATTGATTTGACAAAGCGTATGTTGTAATATTTAATGCATGCATGTTTGATGTTTGTGTAGTGGTCCACTACTAGTCGATCATACTATACCAGGGTATCATACATTCATACTAACTGCTACCAGCTATCTGTCTACGATAATAGTATCGTATGACTATTGCTAAAAGTAAACATATGAGGCTCATTGACGTAAGTATATCATACGTCATAAAATAGGTAATATTCTTTTATTGTTGAGGTTATATGAATGGGTTAGTTATATTATTGTATGAGAAATAAATTAATTTATCGTTCGCAATCAATCACTACTGTACCACAAAATAAGTGAAATTTTGTGACCATTATTATGTAATTTCAGATTCATCATAACCCGAGTGACCTGCAATGTAATGCAATTAYAATACAGGTCCTGGATCAAAATAATAACGAACGCTTGCMCGTGATTCGCGGATAAATACTCGCCGATAGATGGATAAGTTGTCAACTATTGGTATACATGCTGCGAAGACCATCCATCTCTGTACATAGTACACACTATACTATACACATTACAYAATAATACAATATATAGTATATAAACAAAAACCTCTTTAATTTTAATTTTATTTATTAAATAATGGATAAACACCCTGGATATCACTATTGCATTCATGTTCATTGACGCTCGGGATTAAAAAATACCTCTTGTGGGTAAAACCTGTTTATCTAAATCATATATATTATATTGGTTTTGGAGGGAAGGTTTGGATAATTTGATTGACGAGTGAAATATTTTAAAAATTAAAATAAAAAAAACCATTTAATTTTATTTTATTTTCTCACTCTCCTCTAACGACTTAAACTCGCAGTAATAACTCACGATTGCGATTTTGTATTTAAATTAAATTTTCTGTTAAATATATCAATCTTAGCTTGTATTAAAGTTATACGCATGAATGATTTGATAAATTGTTTCATAATTTTTATATTACGACATCGAATCTATTCGACTGTTGAAAATTTGTTCATGAATATTATCGTAATATTATATTACGTCACATTATCGCAACCTGGGATATAGACATATAGCTTGTAAGATAATATTGTACAACATATATTAGATGTAATTAGTAGTATGATTTGAGCAAGATTGCACTATTGAAGTATAAACACATTAAATGTATATCTAGTGTATATAATGTTGACCATATTGAATTTATTTATTATTTACATTATAAACACCCACATATGGGCAAAGTATTATGTGCAGTACATAATACTAAAGTATAATAACTAATATACAGTATTTAATCAAAAGCTTTCATTCAAAATCGGATAGTACGTCAGTACCCAGATACTACTTAAATGGAAGATAAGTAAATGCTTTTAAAAAATAAACGACAACATATAGGTCAATTGCGAATATCAGTATTATAGTACTATATAATGTGTATGCGATTGATAAACGTATAAAAATTATATCTAACCACTATTATACAACATCGCTTTTTAGGTTATGGAAATACAATTCAATAGTTAAACATGGAGTTAGACAACTATGTTAGTTACACGTAGTACTTTTTTAGAATAATTTAAAAATCTAGGATGATGTTGGTGCGGTTATATTATATGATAGGAGCCATGTATTAAATTTTCAAATCTTAGATATAAAAGGAAA